TCCATTGTACTTTATTTCAATGTTCTTTTTTTTTAATTTTCTTCAGTATTCAGGCATCATACTTTTTGCGTATACGGTTTAAGAAATCAAATGTTTTGTACACCACGAAATTAATGAGATTAACAACCTATAACTCTTATATTGTTTATTATAAGTATGTATTATAAGGTTATATGTAGTACATAACTTAGTAAAAATAACTAGTGCTAGACCAATTTGGACTGCCCACTTAGGCAGGAATAATATGCTTCATGAATTTAAAATTAAGTAAAGTAACAGTTCACTGCTGGGCAAAGGTCTCCAGGCCCTCAAATGTCCTCTGTACATAAGGTATCAGGGCAAATTCCACCACGCAACCCCATTGCAGATGGCGTACTTCACGTATCGAACTATTTTTTTGTTATTTTTTTCAAAACAATATGCAGATTTTCTCACGACCTTTTCCTTCAGCCCTGAGCACGTGATAAGTGAGCACTTAAAATTAACAATTTCATTCATTGGTTTTAAAACGCTATCAAATCTAAATCAAATCTAATAACGCATAAAATATTTGTATGTTTATATGACACGGTTTTTTACAATATCTACATATTCACATTTATACATGCTCTCATGAACATCATACATTGGATTTTCAAAGGCCATCAATACGGCAAGCACCTGCTTAATCTGTGAAAAATCCGATCCGCGAGCATTCTCATAAGCAATATGCACGGCACGACATTCAGACCCTTTTATTAGCAATGTAATTAACCAACCAAGGTCTAATGAATACAAACAAGTCCCCAGTGATTCAGCGTAAAATAGGTCATTAAATAGGTATGCATACATACCGACAACTTCACACGAATACCATAACATCGCTATACGGGCGGAAATAAGAAAACGCTTAAAGCAAACGATCTTTTACCCAGCCCTGACCTTTGCACTATGCAAAAATTGTTTGCGACGGAACATTTGGGGAGCCGTTGTGAAACTGGAAAACACGCACATCAAAAATTACACGGGCAACTTGCGCGCTTTTAACCGGTAACTTGTTCGAAAGCTAGCTGATACTATTGGTGTTTCATCAAAGTAATTTTACATTTATTTAATTTTAATTAACATTTATTTTCGCCTTTACATTCGAAAGAAATAGATGAAATACCACATTATATAATACTTTTTTTTTGTTGTAATCAATGCCCTTACTACTATAGGATAATATCAACCTGTGTAAGAAAGTTTAACAAACATGAATTTCACAAACAAAAACTGTTGGTCCCACAAATAGTTGCCCCTTGCGGGAATCAAACTCACTACCCCCGGCGCCGTAGCCACTACCTTAGCAACTGCGCCATGGTGTCATCGAACACACTAAACATCAATTCGCGGCCCCAAAAATGGTTACGCCTTGCCTCCAAAGAAATGGATGTTCCGTCATCCGTATACTAACAGTTAGAGATTTGAATGTTGACGTCAACCATGTATTGGGCATCAAAACTAGACTCCGTAAGTAGTAAGAAAACATCATTCTGCCTACTGCGATTTCAATGACGCATATATCGCTATGCAGGTTTCTTGACAGTAAAAAAACGCGACGTAACTCGCGAACGAAGCGCACCATCTATGAAAACCGCAAAAAAAAAATCATAACAGGACGGACGGACGAACAGACATACAGAGAGAGGAGTCTTAGTAATAGGGTCCCGTTTTACCCTTTGGGTACGGAACCCTAACAAGGTATGAGCCAATATTATAACATCGTGTAAAAGTGACGCGTCGCTATATTACCTAGGAATAAATGCACCGTTGGGTCTTTATAGCCTTACAAATTTCTCTTTTCGTGGCATATTAGCTATAAAAGCTGAACTTTGTGGACGCTGAGGTAATTAAGTCGCGAACGGCTCACATCGTCTGCTAATGCGAGTAGAACCGCTATTAAGTTCTGCGTTAATGTGCCTTAATATCAGTTTTGTCTGTGCACACTACAAGCTTTGCTGTAATAGCAAAATTTTATAACATATTTTACACGTTTTTGTTGTAATTTTATGTTTTAAATAATTATACTACATGCTTTTTATAGTAGTGAAAGGTTTACATGTTTTATACGTTTTTATTCTAAATGTTATGTTTTAACTTCCATGTAAATAATTACACTACATGCTTTTTATGGTACTGAAAGGTTTTACATGTTTTACACGTTTTTATTCTAAATTTTATGTTTTAACTTCCGTGTACCTACAAAGAGTGGTCTATACACGCGGAAAATTTAAACCTGGTCTCATTTTAACCGAATGTTCATCGTGTGAACCGGCCAGGTATTGGCATGCAAACTTCGCGAGAAACCTTCCCCGTGTAAATGGGCCTTGAATAAATAATATCCAATCTCCAATAAGTAAAGAGACGTGTCCAGTGTTAGAAGAACCTTTGGATGCCGACCATTTATCAGGGGAAGGGTTCTGTGTAAATCGGTTTAATTCTACCTGCGAGGTCCACATATCCAAGCCACCAAATTTAAAAATATTTCTTTTGAAATCTACAAGTGGGTTCTTAAATTAGATCTTAATTTTGTATATTACTGACTGGCCATAGTAAAATAAAAGAATAATGAATAATATTCCATTATCACAGGAAACATTTTTTACAGGATATATTTTATGATTTTATTCCGTCTTCGAAAAATTTTAACCTAACATCCGCTCCGAGTCTTATAGCTAAAAATAACTGTACGATATAGACGTGTTATGAGAGATGTGTGTCTATGTGTTTCAATCTTTGATGATCATTTGAAAATAGACTACATAAAATCCGTGAAAAATCAAAGACACAGAGAGATTGACAGTGTGATAGTAGTTGCTATAACAATCGATTGTATCAAAAAAGCCATTCCAAATAAAGCTTTAATCTTTAGCTTTATTGGATGATGTTATAATTTCAAGCGAAGTAAGTACAAGCCATTAGACATTCATTCGAATTGTATATCATACGAAAATGAAAGTAAACAAATCCATTAACTTATAAAATCGTTTCTCCTCACTGGGGTCGCGGGCAGTAGTTTAATACAGTAAAATAATACAGCAAAAATGTTAAATGAATTCAGTCAACTCGATAACAATATATGTTAAGCCTTCAAAGGAAATCGAAATTCAAATATTCATAAATAATTACAAGTAGGTAATTATTTATGAATATTTGTATCGGTGATCTCAATTCCGTAGCTTTTTCTTTGTACTTTGAGAGGATCCACGTAATAAAAATGTTTAAAATATTTTATACGTTCCACGGAAAGAGTTTCGTAGGTATAAACGGCGCAAAGCCTAAGTCCGTGTTTCGCAATTCGCAGCAAAGTAATATGAGCATTAAACCCTCTTGAATAGGTTCTATATTCGGATTAGAAGCAAAATCGTAACATTTACTTGAGCGTCCAAAGGCGGTGGTAGGTTTAGTTTTAAAGCCGTGCGCGCCAGTTTTAATTTTTTGTATTTCGAACTCTACGGGCTATGACATTAAGTACATTTTACTATTTAACTGCTTTCTACCTTTCAACTCATCTATGCGTACACGAATGCGCTCTCTTCACTCTAATTGGCAATGCTCTTAACATTAACGGACTTATGGCCGGTTTCAATATTCTATCTACAGATAGATTTGGAGATAGAATTTTGACGTAAGTATGGATATGGAGGTAATGTTAAATACTTATCGCTAATAACCGAATCTATATAACTATGCTAGAGCAAACTAAATATTGAAACATGAATTACTTCACTTTGTAAGGTATTTTCTAAGGGTCTGAGTTATGTTGTATTAATTTGTCAATGTGCCAGAAAGTAATAAGTTGATCATTTTACTTACAGAAATCACTTTTATATGGTATTTAGCAACAGGTAGCTCTGTTGCTATCCGAACCGTCTTGAAAATTCACAACATCAAATAGTTGTGTGTAATCGTCTAATCGTCGAAATTTGTATTTGATTTTAGAAATTAACAGCTATTTATGGATATCAGATAAGGGGTTTCCGCCTATGTGTTACTACTGCTGCCCGCGACTACGTCGGCATAGAATAGGCTGTAACATTCAGACAGAAAGACAGATATACATAAAATATGACTGTATAATAAATTATAGCCTATGTCTTATTCTGATGTATAAGCTATATTATTGATAAGTTTCATTAAAATCCATTCAGTAGTATTTGCGTGAAAGAGTGAAAAACATCCATGCATTCATACATACAAACTTTCGCGTTTATAATATTAGTAATGATGAGAACGGTTGAACAAATTTTGATAGAACGAATTTTATAATGTTAACACAATTGAAAATATCACAAAACTTTCAAAAAAGTCAATTCAAATCTACACTCAGCAGCTTCTATGTTGCACGAATAGCCGAATCATCCGGGGATTTACCACGGCCTCACAGAAGACCAGCGTGAAGTAGAAGTATTAACGTCCTATACTTATCCCACTATACCTATACATATACATATCCCACTGCTGGGCAAAGAGGTATTTAAAGAGGTCATCTGGGCATAGTTAATCACGCGGCCACACTGCGGATTGGCGGACTTCACATATCTTCGAAATATTTTTTTTTGTGATTATTTCGAAAATATACAGGTTTCTTCACGATTTTTTCCTTCAACGTTATTGAGCACGTGATAAATTCAGGATTTAAAATTAACAATTTCATTGGTGCCGGCACCGGGGATCGAACTCAGGTTGCTAGAGTATATTGAATTAAAGGCGAGCGCCCGGACAGTTAGTCGGGTCTTTCGTAAAATTTGACAACACACTGCAAGCCCTTAGGTGTTATAGATGTCCATGGGCGGCGGTAATCACTTAACATCAGGTGAACCGCCCGCTCGCTTGGCAACTATTCACATAAAACAAATTATTCGGACATACTTAACCTTAACAGAGTTCATTCCCGCTATTGAACAGGTATACCGAGTTATCGATACTCGAAATAATAACGATAAAAAATTTCAAGGACAAAGAAAGAAAATACTCACATCGAAAACTTTCGCCAAGTCCGTCGCCATACAGGAACAGTTGTAAGCGACGATTCCAAGCTCCTTCACCTGTTCAAGCAATTTCAATCTCCATCAAACCGATTAAAAATTGACGAAGACATTTTCCTGCTGGCAACACTGGGGCCAGTCTTTGGGAAATGTTTGGGGAAATATTTATCATTACGATTATTTATTAAAAAACGTTACGGAGCCGTGACAGTTCAGTGTACGGGCGCTTGCCTATAATTCAATATACTCGAGCAACCTGAGTTCGATCCCCGGTGCCGGCACCAATGAAATTGTTAATTTTAAGTTCTGAATTATCACTTGCTCAGCGGTGAAGGAAAACATCGTGAGGAAACCTGCATATTTTCGAAATAATAAAAATATAAAAATATTTCGAAGATATGTGAAGTCCACCAAACCGCCGTGGGGCCGCGTGGTGGTTTATGCCCTGATACCCTCTGTACAGAGGAGACATTTGCCCAGCAGTGGGACATGTATAGGCTGATACTTTACTTTTACTTTATTAAAAAAACGGAGCCATCATCCCTATTTTGAATGTCTAACACATCCAACATATAATAATTTTGTTCTGTTTTTATTGTATTATTATGCTTTTTTTTATCATTGAGACTAAATCAAACCAACGACAAAATAACCTCAATACAGATTCGTAGTCAAGCAAAAGAACTAGCCAGTGCGTAAATAAACGAAGATCAGTCTGACCGTCGCATCGCTGGAAGTTAAACCTTAACACACAGAGATAAAGTTTATTACGCTTGCAACTTTGCTACACGTGTATCGAGGTACCGTGGAGGATTTAATTAAATTTTATTTTTTCAACCCAAAAGGAAAACGGCTGTCGCTTGCAAGGTAACCAAAACTGAAACATCTGAGTTTTCATTGTTTAAATGAAAAAAGTTTTGCACGTTTATATATAAAAAGGCTAAATAATAATAACAAAAAGAGATACGTATAAAAAGCATTACAATTAAAAATGCATGCCAAATTCCAAGTTGATTTTATAGAGATTTTAACTGAGACAGTGAGCAGTAAGTACAAGGTCAGCTACGAAATTTAACCATTTCCAAACCGGATATAATCTCGCTATAGTTTCTTGTCATTTTCTTCCATTTACAAAAATTAAAAGCATTATACTTTTGTTTCGATCAGTGAATGTTGCAGCAGGGAATCTTTAAACTTATATCTTATAATAAGTACATTAAAGAAAAAGGCATAAAATACTCTCTTCAATGACCACCTTCATGTTCAAAGAACAGCCGTCAATGGCGTTACTTATAAATACAATCAATTATTACTCCCTTTCTTGATACTTTCTCTTTAAGCCTACAAATCATCTCACCTGGGTTAGCGAACGCCAGTCCATATTGGCGCTCCCGATGTAGAAATGGGTGCGGTCTATTATCCAGAACTTCGTGTGCAGCACCCCGCCGCCCAGAAGTTTCGAGAAGTTCAAACTCCTGACCTGTACAAATGTAACATAACAAATGAACTACGACATGATTTTGCATTTACGCGAATATACATGGCTAGATGAAACTGTGTCGTGGTGGGGCCACGCAACAGTTTCTGCTATTGCAAGAATGGGCAGGTGCACCCATGGAAGCTTTGGACCCACAGAAGACCGGTATGAAATGGAAGTAGAACACGGTAGCCGGGGCCTACTTTTTTAATGTTACTCAACGCAACTGCAAGCCATCGGGCGTAGTACATGTTCATGGGCGCCGTATTCAGTTAACACCAGGGGAACCATGAAAATAAGCGACAACGTATTACATGAAAATAAGCTATTTAAATTTTAACGTGATTTATTTTCAGTTTAAATCCCCAACGTTTCGAACGGAGCGTTCTACAGTATTCGACCCGTTTTATCTGTCCCGTGACCATGAACCAAACGCTACAAAACAGTTTAATTTAACCATGAACATTTTTGTGAAAAGTGGCCAACCGAGCAGACGGTTCACCTGATGATAAGTGAATACCGCTGCCCATGGACATTTGATACACCCGAGGGTTACAGAGGCGTCGACAACCTTTTGAAAATTTGGCTCCGGCTACCTCGCTCACCAGACGAAACGCGGAAGTATTTGTCATACTTCCACTTTACGCTGGTCTTCTGTGAGGTCGTGGTACTTACCCGGACGAGCCTGCCCAATCGTGCAACAGCCGAGGCTTCTGCGTGGCCCTACCACCGTAAAAATTCGTATTCGTAAAATATTACCTAAAGTATAACATATATTTTCATATCGTGAGAATTATCGGTATCCACGATGGATCATGCGCGATGGAGTTAAGAATCATCATACTCCTGACTTTATGCCACCTAAGAGGTGACAACTCAACATGGTAATAATGTTGTAAGTGGTTAGGTTTTTACGCCCAGATCCGGAGAAATTATCAAGGGTCACACAAATAGTTATCCCGTGTAGGAATCGAACCCACGACCCCGACGCCGAAGCCAATAGCTTAGCAACTGCGCCACCGGGCCATCGAATTTATAATTACTTAGATGAATTAGACCTTGTTATTAACTAGGTAAGAATAATATTACATAAGAATGCCTTGAAGCCGTTTAAGAACTTAACTGGCTTTAAAGTGAATTCAGTTAGTTTAAACAGGAGCTTAGTAATATTTCCGGTATTTGAGTTAATAAAGGGGTAAGTTTCAATTAACAATCCCCTTTCTCAGTGCCTACACAAAACATTATTAAATTGCTCTGTTATACAAGGTATTGTAAACTACAACATGAAATTGCTACACGAAAGTCATTCTTATCACCATTCTAATAGGGATGAAATTAGAATGAGTTTTACGAGACCTGTGCCGCTTTCTTCTTAAGCAAATACTCTGTATCTATATTAGGGTAGTCTTTTGAAGGCCAGTTTTGAGCAATTTTCAAATTAATCCTCCTCTTTGACCCGGCAGCGTAGAGTGCTTGGAACACTTGCTCTCCCTTAAAAAAAAAAAAGATATTTTATTCAATTCTAATAAAATGCAAAGCAAAAATCTCATGTCAAAGTTGTAGTAATATAAATAAATTATATAGGCAAGGCCTGTACATGTTTTTAGGTGATAACTTGTAGACAATTTTACGTTTGATATATTTATATCAATTCATACATAAATATAGTAATAAAATGGTACAAATTCTTGTAACAAAAACTATAATCCAGTGTTTGTATGCGGATGATGTTTTACGCAACGTAAAATTAAGCGCGGATTCAACGCAGTGAACAACAAAATTGTGCTTTGTCATAAAATTTATTGAAACTAAGAAATGCAAAGCTGTTTATTGTACTGTCCTTGACATAATATGAATGACAATGTAATGTGTCAGCAAAAACCTTGATGGATAAAAATGAACACAACTTATTATTAATTTTAATGCAATACACTGAAAATATGTAACATATTTAATCTTATTGAAATATTTCATACTTAATGTGAACCAAAAGTTAAAAACTTTATAAACAGCCAAATTCTACCTATCATGTGACAAACTGTAAAATCATATACATAATTATATTATAGTAGTACATTGTGTTTCATTAAAAAGATTATAATTGAAATTATATTGAATATAATATTATAAATGAAATTACTAAAACTTACCTCTATAGAGGAGTTATAGGGATAAAATTCATTAAATCTAAGAGACCAATAAAAAGATGCTATTTCTATAGACTTTTGAGCTTCATCTATTAAATCTAACCAAACATTTTTTGTAGGAGTATGCGTCATATTTGCTGGATACATATGCCCTTCGGGAATACTCTCTACTAGAGACATTCTGTAACAAAGAAAACACACTAATAATAAGAAGCATGTAGCTAATATATATAAATATTTAAAAGAGTGAATATTTTTAGTGCTACTATAAAAATTTATATCCTTTGAAAATTTTGTTAAAAGAAAAGAGAAAATAAAAATAAACATAGGATATATTATTTACTTTCCCTTAACTTGTAAATTCATTTTTTTATTTTATTCACCGTTAGTTATTTTGGAAATATCCTTTGTTCAATACACAAAGTATTATAATCATGACCTCACTAATCACAGTTATTCAATAATTACCACTGGCATTGAAACACTGAATAATTGCAAAATAATTTGTAAACATTGAAGCTGCACAAAAATTGATAAGACATCCCTTTAGCAATAGTAAATTATAAAAGAAAAATAACAGTCCAATCTGGTGTTATATTATTATATAAATCTTACCTGCACTCATCCGAGCAATGCACAGTGATGGGAGCTGCGGCTGATGAGACATGGGCAACATTAGGCTGATCTAACAGTGGCACCAACACAACAAGAACTATCAACAATATCACAATTGAAACAGGAATGCATGAAGGACGACACCATATACTACGTTTCTTCCTCCTGCACAGAAATAAATGTATTTATTATAATGTGACATATGCAAATAAACATCAGTGGATTTATCATCATCATCATCACTCAACTTATGATCATAAATATCTGCATAAGTAAACATTCAAGCTAGGTCGGCTTAATAACAATAAAACTGTTTAGTGAACATTTTGTTTTACATACTTGTCATTGTAACTATTTCCATTTTCATCTCTCATCATGAATATTTGCTCCCACTGCTCCAGCTCTTCATCAGAGGATGACGCGTTCCCCACACTCCCCGACTCTAGGACAGTCTAGGAAACAATAAGAGTTATTTACTTATAAGTAATATAAAAAGGTGAAAACTCATAAAAATAATAAACTATAGAATAAGGAACTAACTTTTATTTTTAATTTTAAAAACTCCTTAAATGTTTGTAAATACATTTTAAATAACAAATGATGACAACAAAACCATTAAAAAGTTCATAAAAGTTTGTTCAATTTTCTTTCTTTGTTTTGATTACACTACACATCTTCTTCTTCTTCTTTTTAATAATGGCTTGCTTTGTGAGTTTTCACAATACTGCCAATGTCAAGATGTTCTTAAAATTCTCAATTTTACAATATTCACATTAAAATTGAAATAGACAATTAAAAACTTCAACTTCCCACTACACATCTGTTATTTCAAATTCAAAATCGACATTTGACGTCCTAATGACAACTGATGACTGACCGGAAATTAAAAACATTCAATATTACTTAGAATAGAACCAAACATAAAACACTACACACTTAAAAAAATATTATATAAACTTAAATTTATATTTCGTAAATTTATTATTTATTTAAATCTAAACTAATTATCTTACGCAAAAAGCTTTAAGTAAAACCACCACTAACCATTTATATTAAGCTTGTAATACTAAGTTATTAAGTAACTAATATCAATACTTGAAATAAATATAACACTTTTTAAGACACAATCACGAACGTAATAGATTAATAACAGCATTTTCGTGTATCCTGGTGCTCCTTTACGAACCGTGCAGGCGCAATAGTAGCAAAAATATTACTGCAAAGTAGATGACGTCGGCAACCACCGCATTGTACATGTGCATTTTAAATACTAGGTTAGTTCAGACCGTAAAACTATTCAGGGCAAAACATAGTCATTATTGTGATATCACGCAAATGGTACAATTTACCTCCACAGTGAAAATTTAAATTTTTTTACACTGCTAACTCGAGCAATAGCATATTTTTTGTTTAAAAGTGTTTTAAATCGGATATTAAAAAAAACTTAACAGAAACTTTTATGTAAGCGTGAGAACAAAGCTCAGTATTAGGGATAAAACCATTTTTTTTAGTTAAAATTTTAGCAAAAAAAATGTATTTGTGATACGCTTCATGAATAGAATATTAATTTCATGACCTGATAAATTTTATTTTAGCACATAGAAAAAAAAAATTTACAGTGCATTTTAAACCTGTCACGTAAACCAAGCAACATTCGATTTACGTTGCTGACCACTTAAAGCTATACAGGCCTTCGACTTAATTGAGTGCTTTTTAAAGAACTAAATCCGTTAACCTTCGATAAACAGTGTCCGTACGGGCACTCTGTTTGCGTGTATTTTCACTGGCACAACTCTTCAACAACGAAATCTTTTTCAGCTACACTCTAATTTGCTTTGTCGAAACAAATACATGCATGGAAAACTTCCACAACTAGTGCCGTGTGAACACGATAACCGTCAAAATAACACTACCGGTGACAAATAGTTAAGCTTTACTTTAGTGAATTTGAATTGTACCAACAGCCAACAGGTTGTATTATTCACAAGCTACGGTACACATGACATCAATCGACATAAATAACTGTCAATAAACTTTTAAAGTATATTTTAACTTTATAAGTCGCAATGTAAAAAAAGTTGAAAATAAATAAAATTATATTGATTTTAAATATTTATTAGCATTAATATAATGAACTCTATTAATAATTTTCACTGAGGTAATCCGTCTATAACATGTGATCGCAACCTGTCTGCAAATTCAAAATTCTATTCTTATAAACATCGGTCTAATCCTTCAGACGAATAAGTAATTAGTAATTGAAATCGCTTTTTTTCTAATAAAACGATAGTAATTGACTAAACATAGAGTATTTAAAGAAAATTCTAATAAATTATAAAATTAACTCCATGTACATACTTTAAAGATTTATGTATGTCGAGATAATTTGCCGTAAAGAAGTTAGGTTAAGAAGTTAGTTTTACATTAATCTCATTACATACTACATTTAAAATTTGCAAAATGATATTTGAAGTACAATCAGTATAAATTATTATTTATAATTTAAATACATTTTTTCCTTTTGAAATTCTTTTTCGCATTTGATAAATGAAGGGTAGAGCAAACGCACCTCTTGCTCTACCCCAGAGCCGCCGCGTCGCAGATAGAAGTCGATCGGATCTGAAAAGCACGTTAATTACCTTGGGAGCCTCCTAATAAGTTTAATTGAGCCTGTCAAATGTAATTTAAATACGACATTCGAGACCGCGAAGCGTCTAATGTCACAACTTAACGCCACGACTACTAAGCAAACAAGCTTTTGAGACTTTACTACTGCTATCCTATATAGAAAATGATATTGTTTTCCTTAAAAAATAGAAAAAAAATCTTTCCCACATAGAATATCGTCCATTTCTATGAAATTATGTATAGATAAAACACCGATTGTTAGTCCGCCGTAAATTAGCGTCACCTATAATGGATTCGAATGGAAGTCTGGCAATTGATGGTTTACTTGTTATTATAAATAATTACTACGAGCACTAGTCACCGTTTTTTTATTCAAATGTCATTAACGAAAAAAGTGATTATCTGTGTTTTACGGTTATCATCATTCATAGTTATGTCGATTTTCTCTAATCCATGGCAAATAAAATTATGCCACGTCCTACAATAAATGTAAAAAAGACAGGCTGCAACTATTTAAACTTATTATCAATTAGCTTACGTTTTCTTACGTTTTGTACATAGAGGCTATCAAGCAAATGGGTTCCCGCTGACATTCTCGCGGGCGTTACCACCTAAGAGGTTCAGGCCGGGAATTCTCTTCCACCTGAAACTCTACCGACACGACAAATGAGAACTAAAACGCCTTTACGACATGACACAGGTGCGAAACATGCCAAGCATCGCAATAGAAGCCTGACAAGGCAAGGGAGGGACCTCGCAGTATTACCGCTGTCTGTGGTTCCGCTATGTGTCGGCCAACTATTACCGAACACTGCACTGCATGCGCTGCGCCGGTGACTACATGACGGCTGAACGCACGTGAAAGGAAAAACAGCCGAAGCGTGGGAACTGCAATAAAGTGCACGACACAAATAACATGTTCTGTGAAGTGATACGGCGTGTGGCCAAAAGCCGCGGCATCAAGTTGCCGCCTCCATTACCACTACTACCACCACCACCACCTGGGCAACCGTCAAATCCTCCCATCAGAATTAATATGCCTCTTTCCCCTATAAATCAAATTCACAGGTGCAAGACAGCAATCCCTGCAACGGCGAGCACGGTGCTTACTTATAAGGCAAGAGTTACTAGAGTAATCAAAAGTAAAGTGCCGCGTTATTATCCGCCGATAATAAAAATACCTAATATTACCTATAATACCTAATATTACCTGCCTGTCCGTGTGACAGCTAGACTTTTGACTATGGCAGGGCCACGCAGTTTTGGGAATGGGCAGGCTTGGACCTGAAGAGGACGAAGGCCCACTTTTTTAAAAGATTGTCAACACAGCCCTAAGTCGTTGCAGATGACCATAGGCAGAGGTCAACACCAAATGAACTATCCGCTCGCTTGGCAACTTTTCACATTATTGTTATGAAAGAAGAAAAACCACGTTTGTCGCCGCCACTTTGTTATGAGTAGGTATGAAATGACAGTGAAAACGTTTTATAGTGACTTTATGGCGCGTACGCCACGCCTTGCAAGCCATCTAAGCGTCAGGGCCAAATGGGTCCAATACACTCGTATATATTACGGCTAAAACGTACGACGAACCACGTTTTGGTTTGGTCGGTTTTGGTTTTGTTTCACTTTTAAGTACCAAAAACGCCAGAATAATTCAAATCCCGTAGCCTTTATGTATTCGTTATATATCGCAATCTTAAGTGCTGATAACCGCGTAGTCGGCGGTGAAGGAAAGTATCAAAAGCGTGAAAAATAGGAGTATTTTAACACATGTTATATAAGCGACCAATACATGTCGGAGCTACGTGTTGAATCATACGATTTACATAAGTACACATAGTGATATTTGTCCCAAGCGACAGACAAATTAGCGTTTTCTCAACGTCCAAGAACTAAAAACAACAAAGCAACAAAGGTCAAAAACGTCACTGTTGGTGCGGTGTTGTATATTTATTTATTAATGCACGCATCAAACATAAAATTCAGAAAATAGGAAACTTAGCACAGAGGTACTACTTTTACAACATTAAATAAAACGTAAATGTAAAAAAAACAATAAGTAAAAAAGATACAAATGAATGTTAAGAAATAATCTTGTATTTAAAATGAGCTCTCATACAGATTCATGTTTAAATGTAGGCTACTTAACCCATCATTACATTTAATTTGTACTTAATCCAAGTGCTACGAGAATAAGAAACAAAGATCATCATTATAGAAGGCAAGAAAAAATAAAAAAAGAAATTGATCTGACGCTGGGTAAAAAAATCAAAAAATAAAGTCTTAAACAGTAACACCATCTTTCCAGTAATAAATAATAAGTATCAATACAAATCTACACCGTATTCTTGTTTTACGAATACCGCACAAAAACGCTACGCTGTAGCTTTACGAAGTATCATAAAATTTCAGCTCTGCCATAACTAAAATATTCAATACTGAAATTTTAAACGTTATTCACTTTATAATTGTTGTCTGGAAGCGACTCGCGGGTCGTAGTTGGAATAGGTACGGGTTCTTTGCGTGTATGAGTTACTAACTACTTCAGGTTTACATGCAAAATAGCTCATTAATGTTCATTGGCGGTATCTAGCGTCTTCTCACATTTGAAACATCAGAACGGTAAAACACTTGTATGTTAAAGACTTAACTAGCTTACTGAAACGTCAACACTATCTACCTGTCAAACCCAACGGTGATGAAAGCCTAGTTTTAACCGACTTTAAAAGGAGGAGTTCTCAATTCGACTGTATTTTTGTTCTATGTTTGTTAGCTCAGAACTTTCGACTGAGTGGACCCATTTTTATGGTTCTTTTTTTAT